ATTTATACATATGCTGTGTCCACAAATAAGTACTTTGTAAGAACTATTTAATGTGTCGCGGCAATAAATAATTTTTTTGTGCGCACTCTTATGCTGGTTCCAGGGCTCTGTGGGAATAGAACACAAGGTAATGTAAGAATTATATAGTTTAAGGGTATGAACACCATTGTAATCATGTTGTTACAGTTTTCTATACTTTTTAACATAATGGTCTGACTTTCTGTTGAATTTTAAATGAAATGGCATATTAAAGGTGGAAAAAGTCTCAAAAATATTTATTATTTTTCCAACGTCCCTGAAACCTTATAGAATATCTTGAAAGGTACAGTTTGAAACAAAATAAGCCATGCAATTGTAGTGCTTTAGAACTTAACCCATTAATAGGTTATGATTTTTGTGTGGTACTGAAAAAAATTATTAATTGCAATATTTTCTTTACTTAAAAGTGTAAGGTTGGTAATACAATAGTTTTTAATTATCCCATGTATTTGTTGAAAACCATTAAGTTATTATAAAGATGAAGAAAATAATTATGAAAAGATTAAATGATTTTATTTCTAAGTAGAATAAATGTTGGCTTTTCTTATGTAGAAAAACTTTCCACAGTACTGACTGACTTTTTGCTTATGACATGTTTTTTATATGTTTTCATTTATGGAAAGGGGTAGAGATAAAAGATGGGTAAAGTTTTACTTTTCTTGGGTGGTTTGACTTGACCTCTCCGACCTTGAGTGGCGATCAGATAGACGGCAACTCCAACTACAATTGTAGCCACCACGTCTCCCACCGTTAGACCCGCGATGGAGGGGATATCAAGTTCTACACAGTTGTCGCATGCTGAGGGGGAAAAAATATTTTTCTTTAGTATAGCAATTTTTCAGCATTTAATGACAATGATTATTGTTGGTGGCCAATGGATTGGCCACCTCAAAATAAACATTTGTTAAAAGAAAACGATCTTTGCTGTAGAACTTACTTCGGAATTTCACATAGATTTTTGATTTATCTGTACATTCATATTCCCCAGACTGATCATCACGGTAGTATAGTGTCAACTCATCCGCCTCTTGACCGTTTCGATCCATCATTTTTTCTCCACATTTCAGCACAACTCCGTCTGCAATATCTTTCACTTCTATTGAATTTTCTGTGTAAGAAAAAGAAAAGCACTTCATAAAGCCTAAGATTGGATAAAGCGATTATTATACTTTTTTTTTTTTTTTTTTTTATAGTTCCAATAATGTCAAGGTGTAAAATTTGTACTGTGAATCAGAAAAGCACTCTTACTCTCAGCATTGGTTTGACAGCTGACAAATCCTGCAGGTGATTTTTGAAGAGAAACATGGTTAAATGTTTATTGAAACAGGCAAACTAGTGGCATACACAATAATTGTGAATTATATAAAATTAAAGCTCATATAACATCCTTTTTTTTAATAAAAGGCTGCAAAATAATCAAAGCCAGAAACATAAACATTATATTATACATATACATTTATGGTATATATATATATATATATATACAGAGATCAGGATCTCTCTGTATATATAATAAATGACCACCACAATCCAGATGTTTGTTAGGCAAATAAACTTTAACTTTTAAGTAATCCTTCACAGAGGTAAAAGGTCTGACCTTGAAAAACAAATGCATACTTTTAATATATTTAAAACGATCAGCTTTCTCTTAAACCAGTGCTAACTACAATGTTTTTTATAAAATTTAAAGATTTATGCGAGGAATTCCTGAAATACATAGCTAGTCAGGTCACACCGAATTAAACAATTGAATAAATAAAAACAGTTTTTAAAGAAAGCACTGCAGGTGTGATTCCACGCTTAGCATTTCAGGTGTAGTCATGGCAACATCTCAGGAATGTGTTCAAAGCAGGACTGGAAACAGAAATAATAGTCTGAAGTCCTCCGGAAAAATAAGTATATTAGTATAATAAGAATATTGAATTTCTCTGTATGTGTTAAGGGTAGAGGGAAGACTTATAGCTCATGCCTCAGGCTTGTTGATAAAATTCATTTTTTTTGTTTGTGTTTTTTATTGAGGAATCAGAAAACATCCAAGAAGCAAAAACATACCTTAGTAATGCATCTGTGCTTGTCAGTTTGGATGTTCCTATTTAATCCCTATGCAACCATGCTAGTTACTGTATATCATTTTATAGTATGTACACGCGCTGTTTGGCATTAAAAGTTTTGTACCAATCGTAATGCAATTTGGAAGTAATATAGACCCAATTGATACTTGCTTCAAATAACAAGTTTTAAATAGCTCACTTATTATGATGAAAATGTAGTATAGCGACTCCAATACAATATGAACCACAAGCAGTCATTAGGCTACTGTAATTTGGCTTTTGAATGCTTACTAAATGTCTTACAAACAATTAATTTAATTATACTCAGAACTTGAGCTTTTTTTTTTTAAAGGCCCAAATTTCAAAATGATAATTGAGCCAGACGAAAATATACCATGCATGCTTTAATTGGATGGTTCCAAGATGGTTTGCAGGAAGGGTTGAAATATGACAGAATGGAAGACAACATTTCTGAGAAGATGAACAAGCAGTTTCTTTGTTTTCTTTATTCTTTTCGTTGTCTTCATTGCTTTCTATTTCCATAATTAAAAAAAGAAAATAATGTTTAACAAAAACAACTTTGTAAATGTGTTGTCAGACTAATGATATAAAGACTTTTACAGTACAATGTATTCAATGCAGTGCGTCAAATATGTGTTATCAGAAAAAGGGCTGTAATGCTAGTCCTCATACACTAATGGGATGCATAAAATGTTTATTGATTAAAAAACCAGTTTACCTGCCAGAATCCAAACAATCAGCAGTGGATGTTTCATGCTTTGCCCCCTGGATGTTTCTCTAAAGACAGAAGGAAACACAGACTTCAAGCGCACCACACAAAAACCGGAAGGCTGCCATTTTCTAACTCTTGTCAACCATTTTACTTTAACATAATAACTAACAGAGAATAAAAACACAACAATTGTGGCTTCTGTCACACCATTACTCTTTCAGCTGATCACCAAATTGATGGGGCAACTTTTATTGCTGTACTTTTGGCTGGTTTTCGATGATGACAGATTAACAAATGTAAATATTGAAACTTTTCTTTAGGCTAAAGACAAAAGCAGATACAATATGAAATTAATACAAAGATGTAGTATAATTTTAAAAACAATCGAATAAAAATACTAACCTTAAACCAAAGAAGTGTTTGGTCTCGGCTGTTGAACGACTTAGTTTCTGCCTGCTGTCGGTGCGTCTCCGTCTGTCTCTTTGTGAGGGAGAAGGAAGTTACTGTGATTGGTTTGTTGGTCTCATCAGGCTTTGCTGATTTTATCTGAAACTCTCCATCATGTCAACATACTTCAAAATTATTGGCTTCAAAATTTAGCACAATACACACTAGAATCATGTTTCTGGCAATTAATATTGGCTTGGTTTAACAGGTTGTTTTTTGTTGATCAGGATAAAACTGCAATGTTAAATCCAATTTATATAAACAAATATTAAAAGAAATATAAATTTATTAACAGACATGAGACAGGATTTTATCAGCATGAGGTCAAATATAGTTTACTCCTATAATTGTTATTCTTTACCACTTGCCATAATTTATTTGCTTCTTAAAGGTCTGAGATATAAGAAAAACAACATCAACTTACTTAGTGCAACCCAATAATAATATATTTTTTAAGCAACTGCTTAGGGGAATGTGAACTGAAAATGCACATCTCCAATTACCGTAGGTAAAACATATTGGGAATGTTTTCCCATCATATGTGTGAAAGACTGCATTCCCTGTTGAACTGCAGCAGAAACAAAATGAGAGCAGATGCAAGCTCCCACAAAATAACTCTGCTTCCTGTTTGCAGAAAAGCCACAGCAACCTGTGACCCAGAGCCAACACCTGGCATGCACACACACACACATATATCCATATCCATTCTCTCCTGCAGCTGTTAGAAAAACAAAGCAGGTCGTTTAATTTCTTTCTCACCAGATGCACCCTTTTTTTTTTACCCAACCATCAATTTCTGCCAATACAGTTAAAAAGATGCACATCACCCTCATGGTGCACAACCTAGTGAAACCATTCCTTAAACCACTTTGGAGCGCCCCCTGGTGTTTACAGAGTAAAATCACAGTATGCTCAGAATTCACTCAGATACCATCTCAATAATACCTTTATTAGACTCTTTTATACATGTATGCATATAAATATACAGGACAGGACATGTGGCATGTTAAGAAACGGTTCTATACTCTGTAGTAACGCATTCAGGTTACATTTGACCAAATAAACATTCAGGTTTTAGTAAAGAACCCTAAAACACATTCCATTAATGCAACCAAAGAGACAACATGATGAGCAATATGAGAAAATTTGCTTTGATGAGACGAGAAATCAGCAGCACAAACACCTGAGTACCTGCTTTACTGTACGACAAACATTCATGGGTATGTTTTGTGCATTCGTAGAGGGACGGTTTTTAAAAACAAGGATGTCCTCTGAACTTTGTTCCAGCTTGAAGGTAACTGGTCAGTGGTTGCCTTGCAGAGTGGGGGTTCCTCTCAGACAGCTGCATTGTAAGATGCAGGTATACATGCACAAACAGTAGGGAGAGTTGCTGGATGATCTGTCAGAGCCAGATTTCCTCACTGCTGGTGCTGTTCACCTTATAGATGTAGCCAACCATTGGATACCTGGCAAAACCTGGGAGGACCACAATAAAACACATAAATAGACCTAAACTATAGGGATAAATAATTGAATAAGCAGCCCAGATTTAGTGTTTTTCTTTGACCTCTTGCTGCGTAGGCTAAAGACAGATCTTCCTCCTCCTCTTCCTCTTTCTTCTCCTCTCCCACGCTGTTCTGCTGAGCAACTTCTCGAGCTGAAAGGCAGGAAAGAGGAAGCAAAGTGAAACACAAACCTGAAAATCAGTTGTAGGATTTAAAAGAAAATTGAAAAAACATGATTTCCTGAGTAGTTTGCTGAGTAGTTTAATCTGATCAACAACTATAAACTGGAAATGGTTTGGTTCTTTTTCACTCACTCCTTCATGTCCAGCCTTCATCATCTGTAAATTAATACATTTATTCTGATTATCTTATATTTATGGGTGTTTAAAAATGTAGAGATTCTGCAAAAAAAAAATATCAAAATCAAGTTTACATTCATGAAACATTTTTAACCTTTATTTTTTGGTATCATGCTTTCCTAATTTTTGATTTATTCCAACTTGAAGCTTAAATAATTTCTTCCCTTTTTGAGTAAATGCTACACAGTGGGTTTGTTTGGCCACTAGGGGGCGAGTGATCCCTTATAACTGCAGTGAAAAAATTTTTTCCACTGTCTTGTTTTCATAGGATGTTTATATTTTCTCTGTGTTTACTGCATTTTTAGGCTTGGAGAGTTTTGTTTTTCTTTCTCCCAGTTATTATCAGTCACACACAGCACCTCCTGATCTGAACACAAAGTACTACCTCATCAACAAATGATTGTTTTTCTGGTAAAAATCTGAAAAGTGTGTAGTAAACCTGAATTTACAGTTTCCACCATGTTCTAAATTCTACATTATTTTATTGATTTTTGCAAATTAAATTAAACTCAGTTAGACTGGATAGAAAACATTCATCAACGTAATTTTTCTTTCTTTTCATGGGTCTGTAATTTAGTTAGGCCATTCTGAGAATTGGTGTTTAACCCAGATGGACAAGTATTTAGCTGCTTCCAATTTATCATAAACTCTAATCAGTAGGCCAAAAGCATAATGCTGCCACCCCCATGTTTTACAGTAAAGCAGGCATTTTAAAGACATTCTGCTAATTTGCATGTTTAGACTTTTGTTTGATATACTTACCATATATTTTATATATTTCTTAAGACAAACTGCAAAAAGGGATGATCTTAGCTTTCCCTCAGCAATAGATCTACTCTTGTCAAATTTTTGTGGTTCATAATTGGTCAACAGGTTCCACAAACAGAGCTCTCGATCCTCCCGACAGAAATCATTCGGGGATATTGACATCATGACTGATAACTGATATATAAAATATAAATTCTATAAATTTTTCTTCCCCTTTTGTCGCTGGAAGAAAAGAAAAAACAACCACACCACTGCTTCAGTTAAACACCCACAACCTTGCTCTGCCTCACCACCACACACCCAGACAAATACCACAAGGGCTGATGGGTAACTGATGTTTCCTACCAACCTGTGAGGCCATCACAGAACAGCTGAATATGCTGAGGTAAACGCCACACACCTAGAATAACTGTTATGTGACTTCTGAAGGTAACTGGTTGCACTGGATTATTACAGGTATCGTGAGAAAAGCTTTCAGAGAGTGCAGATCTCCTCCAAACAGCATATTCGGATGTATTCCTATAGCTAAAACTCACATGATCTGGATTATAAACTCATTTTAAAGAATTGTTTCTCGGCATGAGGTGCACCTTTGTTTAAAATGTAATTAAAATCCATTCATAACTTTTTGAGTAATCCTGCTAACAAGCAAACAGGAAGAAAAACATAACTTCCTTGGTGGAGATAATAAGAGGATTTAATACAAATTCACATAAAACTTCTTGTATTAAAACAGTTTCAATCTGTATTCATTTACTTCCTCTAATAAATTGCCACCTTCTTTTGGTCTATCCCAGGGGTAACAAATAAAAAATCAGCGGGGTGCGAATAAAGCAAATCATCAATCAGTAAACGTCCGGAGACATTTTTAATTATAATCTGATACTTTAAACAGAATTTAACACCAAAATAAAATGAGGTTTTTATGCATTTATCCATGTTATACATTGGCTTTTTAAATGAAAAATATAAAAAAAAAAAAAAAAATGAAAATTTTTCCATTTTAAAATCTAAAGTGTTTTTTTTTTTTAAGTAGAGAACAAATCAATCTTTTAGTTTGGTATACAGATCATTTCCTGATTCACATATTTTATAAAACACCTGAAGTAACCGTTTTGTTTTTTTTATGGTGGACTTTAGGCTGCCCTGCAAGGCTTTAAACCTGCACTGCAAAAAACATCTAGAAATAAGTAAAAATGTCTTAAATTAAGTCTATTTACCCTTAATTTGAGCAGGTAAATAAGATAATCTGCCAATGGGATGAGTATTTTTACTCCTAAAATAAGATAATTAGATAATATACACTTGAAATAAGACAAAGCAATTGTTTTTTTCATATTTTAAATGTAAATTGTCTTGTTCCATTGGCAAAGTGACTCGGTTACCTACTCAATTCAAGAAAAGATGCACTTAATTTGAGCAAAAATAACTTATTTAGATTTCCATTTTTTTGCAGTGTGGGTTTGAATGGAGACAAAGCCATTCTCAAGCACATATCAAGGAGCTCATTTTGAGTCTGGATCCATATTTATTCTTGATTATATTCATGGTGGAGAATCCTGCTTCACAGCAGCAGGTTGAGCCAAACGTCCTCTAAATGTGCAGGGTCATCTTTGAGCACCATTTCACTTTTCTTTCACCAGTTCACTGCAGTTCTTCCAGCAGTCCACACTTTCTCTGCTCTCTTTTTCTCATCATCTTCTCCTTCTTTCCCATCGCCCGGCTTGCCACAGGTTTGCCTGCTGTGTCTAAAAGTAGCAGCAGCAGCAACCCAGACTGACAGCAGCTCATTGGCTAATTTCTCTAATGCAGCCTGGTCGAGGGCTCTCCGGAGGGCTTTACCATATTAACAGGAGAAGCAGCGCAAGTGAAGTTAGACACTGTCATCATACACACTCCGTAATGGTTAAATCAGGTTGGGTCTGGATGACCTCTGGTCTGTCCCATAAAATGAGAAGCAAACAAAGACATGTTCATGGTCTTTATGGGACATAATCTAAACAGTTTCTCAGGGATATAGTGGTGAAGATTCTCAATCATCGAGGTCATAGTCATTCCAAAAAAAGTAAAAAAATAAATAAAAACAATCCTCTGGACTTTATTTCCGAGTTTGAAGACATTTTGAATTGAAAAAGTTTCCTGGATGGGAAGCGAAACATCTTCAAACTTGGAAACAAAGTCCAGTGGATTGTTGTTTTTTTCACTGGTTAGGAATTTCTCAGGGATATTTATACTTTTACATACTTTTATTCTTAATTCAAGACTACAGATGATATGAAAAACATCCAGCTTCTATCCACAGGAGTATTTGAGAAATATGTTTGAGTATTTCCACACTGGAGGAAGGAGGATCTTACCTTTCCTCAGAGAGCTGAGGTCGTTGAGCTGCATGTTGGCAGGCAGAGACATGTTCTCTCTGGGGATGTTGGTCTTATCTGCTCTGTCCGTCTTCAGGTTTGCTGATTCACTGTGTGGACGATACGGAGAGGTTAAAAACTTGGATCACAGGTTTTATTGATCTGCAGGATGGACAAACTTTTCTTTAGAGCAGAGAAAAATGCTTTCATCAGTGTTTGCCGTCCATTTAGCTAATAGGAGAAGACATGATGTGGCGTAAAGATGAGACAATAAAATGATAGCATGGTTAGTGATGAAAGGCCATATAGCATTGGGTAATACTAGAATGATGAGGAAACTGGGAGATTCTATTATAAGTAGTTTGGTATTAATAGAATGTATCATATTGTATAGAATAGCCCTGAATGCAGCTGAATCTGAAAGCATTTTATTAATAAAAGCTAAAATATGTTAAGACTCTAAAAGAAACCATTTAAAATCTCACAAATATGGATGTTCTCTTACATGATAAAACTATAAACATTTTTAATCTTAGCTAAAGACAAAACAAAAACAACATCTACTGGAGTCAACAGACTAAAAATAAAGAAGAACCGAACTTCATAAACAAAACTCTGAACAGGAAATAGCAGCAAGATTCAAAGAGGCAAGTTTAATTTATATTAGGGATGAAACTTAGGATTATATTTCTAATCAAATAATCTGTTGATTATATTTGCAATAAAATAATGAATAATTGGATGGAATGAAAGTGCTTTTAAGAAGATCTTATATAGAATATAAATCAAGTGAAGCTAAAACAAAGAGGAGTTCTGAAAAGAGTTTATTGATGAAAAAAAGTTTTTTTTTTATATTGAATGCAAGATGTTTATGCTTCAATTTTGGTCTAATTACTGTTCTGTGTGGGTAGCTCTTATAGTTAATGGAATATAGAGCTATCTATAGTTATGCTGCTATAGGCTTAGACTACTGGAGGACATAGGGACCTTCATTTCATCATTCTACTTCATTCTATCTCTATTCTCCCACTCTGCAGAATCTGTTAGTTCAATCTCTAATGTTATGCTCTCTCTGCTTTTTCTCATAGTAGCTTTGCTTCGTCTGTTCCTGTTTGGCTGTGACACCATCCTGGAGAAAAATATCAGTCAATGAGTCGATGCAATCAACTGGTTTTCCTTAGATAGAAAACTTTTATTCAATTTGACTGGATGATCTGGTGAACTGTTAAGTGCCTTGAGATGACATGTGTTGTGAATTTGCGCTATATTAATAAACTGTACTGAATTGAAACTGAATATTTGAGAGTATATACCCTGATAAATAATTAATGAATTGGTAAATTACTGGTAATTATTTCAAGGATCAATTAATCAACAAGAAATGCTTCAAAGTGCTTTACATGAGAAAAAATAAAAACAAAAGTATTATGCAGCGGCACAGAGGCAACACCATTAATTAATGCGAATAAAAGCGATCGATTAAAATTATATTATTTGATAAAAAAAAAGATAAAATGATGGATAAAAAAATTAAAAGAAAGATGGGCGGAAAATTTCACTAATGAGAGAAGGAGGGACGGGAAGCCAGTGTAACGATTTTAGAAGTGGGATGATGTTCTCCAATTTCTTCATTTTGGTGAGGATGCCGGCAGTTTCCTCTATACAGGAAGAATTGGTTCACCTTCCTTTACATACACATGACATTAATTACATCACTTCTTTTACCATCTTTTGAAGCTCAGTAAATATTTTGCCTCCTGACAGCTGCCAAACACAGACCCATCCAGAGGAAAGACCCATCCAGTGTAGCCAGGCTTTCTGCCGCCATGATGGACACACCGAACCTAATTATGTCAGGATTGGATGTTTCCGTCCCACCATGAAAACCTGTTCATTGCAGAGTTCCTGAGCTAATCTGGATGCCAGAGTTAGACTGGCGGGTTGTAGCCATTGACTCAGCATCTGCTGATCCTCCTCTGTGACATTTTTGTGACCTTCCACATTAAGGCTGTGCTGATGAGGCTCTAAACTGCTTCCATTTTGCTATAATACCAAGAACAGTTCAATGTTTAGTAAGAATTCGTTTTAAAATTAAAGCTGTTGCTCAATTGGCCTCGTTATCATGTCAGCATCATCAACTCTTGAGTGTGACCCACTTTCAAACATTTCCAAAAGCAGTCGCCTCGGTGCTGGATTTGGTACGTCTGTCTCAGTAGTAATGAGTGGAACAATTAAAGTCAATGATTTGGTATTACAGTTGATTATCTGTTATTCTATTAGCAGAAAATATTACAAGTTGCTCATCTTGCTAGATTAATAAATTGTTTATATAATATAATAATTTAATCAAACGATCAATTAATCGGCCCAGGAAGCTAAAAAGTGATTATAAAAAGATGATTTTAGCCTTTAAAAGGCAGCTTTAGTCCAAAGTTTACCTTTTTTTGGTCATCAGAATCTCCACTGGTTCATCTGTGATAAAAGAAAATCACAGGACAATGAACCGTGAACAACAGCACAAATGTTTTCAAGCTCAATACTTAATGCTCATAGATTGTTCTCACCTATGATCTTGCTCTTGTTTTTTTGCATAAGGCAGAGAACTATCAGGCTGAGGATGAGGAGGGCCATGAAGGCCATGGCTCCTCCAGTAACTATCCCCAGCATGGGAACCTCCACACGAGACTGCAGGAACTCTGGAAGGAAGAGGAGAGACATTAAAAGAGATGCTGTCACATTTCGAATAACAACATTTATTTATTTTTCTGTATAAGAGACCCTTTTGGTTAGCTTAGGTCAGCTTAATGACTGAAAACAGCAACCCAAAAACATAGATTTGACACACCAACCACAGGTATCTCTGTTTTAAACATAATGATTGTTTTTTTGTTTGTTTTTTTAAGATTTAAAATTTTTTATAGATAGTCTGATCAAATGTGTAAAACAAAGCCTGAGTTTTTGATTGTTAATATGGGGCTCTATGCCTTTTTTTCTTGTTTTTCATAAATGGATAAACTGATTAATCCAGGTGTGTCTGACCTCAGTAACCATGACGATATTGTCCAGACACACCTGGATTAATTATTTTTTCCAGTTATGAAAGAGGAAACAAAGGAGCGGACTGAAGTTCTGGATATAGTAAAGATGGGCATTTAGCCAATTGCAATGAAGTGAAGTAAAACAGTAAGGTATTATTTTGTTATGAGCATGGTATTTGCCTTTAATAGTCAAAACGAATTAACCTTATAAAAAATACCTTCTACTCACTTAAATCACTTTGTTAGAGTTTGAGATTTTTTATGCAATTAAACTTCTAGTCTAACTCCACAGCAGAATGAATATCGTTATTATGAAAATCCTATTTCTGTAGGATTTTAGGACCTTAGCTGCTAGCTAATGCTAGGCAGCTAATCTTTGCCTAGCAAGCTAAAATGCTTTTTTCTGGATTGTCAATTAGTCCCAGAGGATTTAGAAAGAAAATCTGATCCATCCATCCATCTGTCCATCATCATCCATCCATCATTCACCCAGCCATCCATCTGTCCGTCCGTCTGTCCACCCATTGACCTATCATCCATCCATCCGTCCAACCCTCCATTCATCATCCATCTGTCCATCCTTCCATCATCAATCATCCATCCATCCATCAATCAATCCATCATCCATCCATCCATCAATCAATCCATCATCCATCCATCCTTAATTCATCCATTCATCCATCCATCCATCCATCCATCTGTCCATCCATCCATCCTTCCATCCATCCATCATTCATTCATCCATCCATCTGTCCATCCATCCATCAATCAATCCATCCATCAATCAATCCATCATCTATCCATCCTTCATTCATCCATCCATCCTTCCATCCATCCATCATTCATTCATCCATCCATCTGTCCATCCATCAATCAATCAATCCATCATCCATCCATCCTTCATTCATCCATCCATCCATCATTCATTCATCCATCCATCTGTCCATCCATCATCCATCCATCATCCATCCATCATTCATTCATCAACCCATCTGTCCATCCATCCATCATTCATCCATCCATCCACCTGTCCATCGATCCTTCCATCCATCCGTCCATCCATCCATCCATCCATCCATCCATCCATATGTCCAAACATCCATTCATCATCCATCTGTCCATCCCTCCATCATCCATCAATCCATCATCAATCAACCCATCATTCATCCATCCATCCATTTTTCATCCATCCATCCATTTTTCATCCATTCATCATTCAACCATCTATCCATTCTTCAATCCATCCATCCATCCATCCATCCATCCATCCATCCATCCATCCACACAGCAGCCTATCATCCACCCATCTGTCCATCCATCTATAATTCATCCATCCATCCGTCCGTCCATCCATCCTCTACTAGTTCTCCAGGGTCTCTATAGGTGAAAGGCGGGTTACGCCTTAGACAGGTTGGCAGTTCATCGCAGTTTAAAGAGAATCTTTGATATTAAATTTGAATGTTTTTAGAGAAGCTTAATTGTCAAAGCCACTCCTCAGATGAGATTTATCAACATATTCAGATGGTTTCATCTGACTGTAGAAGCATGCTGCAAACAGCTTGTGTATTGTTGGCTAAAGTAGCACACATTCAGTGTGAAACTGTGGGTTTGTACATTTGTACTGAAAAAGCATTTGTAAAGAGTTTCTGCGGCGGTTTTAATAACATCCTCTAAAAACACAGACTCCAGAAAGGCTGTAATGGACTAAAAGGACTTCAGCACTCTGATATCTGAGGAGGTATCATTGGAAAAAAGATGGTTTCTCTAGTTTGTTTCAGCCGCTTTAAGAAGATATTCAAGAGCATTTAGCTGATATATGTATTCTTTTTTGCTAATAGCTCAACCTACTCCTGATCAAAAAGCTGAAGAACCTAAAATGGTAAATTAAATTCCCCTTTACCCTTTGCTGTGTTATACAACATAATAGCCAGACTTCGTCCTGAATTTACCAGGGTAGTTGCATGGGACTATTGGGTTATTAAGGAACAAAATATCTGTTTTGATGTTATTTAAACAGGTTAATATTTTATGAGCTTCCAAAGAGACCCCAGGTTTCAGGTTGGTTATTGGGCTCTGTCATCTTTCTGGGTTGATAACTAATTTACAATTACTTAGAAATGTTGTAATCATCAAACTAACATTACCTGTTAGTGTCTGCTGTTATGCCAGCCTGCTTGAAGAATCCACCTCATTGTTTGTTTCGTGAGTATTTTAGGGAATATGTTACATCACCACATTGAGGGACGACAGATTATAACTTGGTTCCTATTTTTGTAAAGTTGAAGATGTTTATAGAAAGGAGTGGGATGTGGTGTTTATAGAATCAACTGTCTTATGAAAACAGTGGTGGATGTCTCCTTAACTTTCAGTCTATCTTAAAAAGAAACTTGGCTCCAGCCAAGCATCACATCCATCTAAAGCAAGTCCTTCTGGCTCAGATGAAACATTTCAGATGCAGAGCGTTCAAACATCCGACCTCCATTTCCGTTTAAATTCA